ACAGAAAAAACCCCAAACAACATCAGCAGAGCAGAACTAGGCCAATACTCACTGATCCAAATCCAATAAAGAGCTACCAAATTCTACAATCACGTTCAGACTCGGTGATCAGAACCTAGCCATCGAGACGGGCCGCCAGAGACAAACCTGGCTTCCTAGAGAGGAAAGGATCTGCTCACTTTGTACATCACAGGAAATAGAAAATGAACAACACTTCCTCACAACATGTGAAAAACACAAAGATCTAAGAGAAAACTACAAATTACTGAAACCTATAAAGGAAAACTTCCATACCTACTAGGTGAAACACAAAGATGTGACATAATTGCAGCTAAATATACACGTACATGTCAAAACCTGAAGACAACCAGAGGAACACAAATATGAAACCATCATACCGTTACTATAGCGACAATGTTGTTATTGTTATGGTTCTTTGTTTGTTTTCTTTTACTGTTGCTTTGGTAATATGAACATTATTCTTTCATGCCAGTCAAGCCAGTTTGAAACTGAAAATTGAAATTTGAAAATTGAGAGAGAGATCAATAATGAATTTAGGGCTGTCCCCAACTAACGATTGACATGGTCCAATCAGAATTGTCAAGTCTTGCCCAAAGTCGACTGATAGAGGAATCAGTGTGTGTTTGTGCACGGCGACTGTGGGGGATTGCAGCCTCTATCATCATTAGTCAGTGTAACTTACATTGTACATTTAACGTTACAGATAAACTGAGGCTTGCTGTTGATCATTTCCTCTCAGCTCTGCTCGCCGGCCTTTCACCGGTCTTATGCAGAGTTTTTCATGCGTGCCGTGCGGCCTACAAATGCATGCACGTTGCGGTTCCTTACGGGTCTATTTCAAGTACTATTTAAAAATAATATAATATTCTTTCCCCGCGACCCTGTACGCAGGATAAGCGGTTGACGATGAATGGATAATATTCTTTGTGAGGTTTATCAATAGTGATAAATGATCCGAAAGTCCCGCGAGGTCTGGACAACTTGGCACAATAGCGGGGACGCAGGGGCTCCATCTCTCTGCCACTACCGCAGAGCTAGACTGTATATTAACTTACTGGGAGAAAACTGGTAGTTCTATGTAAAACAGACATTGAGCACCCCCATATCGCCAAAATGCCATGATCCTCATTTTGATGCGAAGTTTCGACTGTGAGATTGACAGTTGAATCAGACTCCGCCCATCGAAGCATCAAACCTTTGACTATGTGGAGTCAGCCCTAAATAAATTAATGAATCATAATTTCTTGATCACTTCCTATTTTCTGTATTTTACTATGATGAATGGCCAGTTTTGTCTTTTCTGAAAATGTGACCTAATTAAAGAAGCTTTTATCTTTTGCCATAAAAAACACCAAAAACTAAACCTGTACAACAAACAAAAAAAACATGAATAAAATAATGAAGTTCAGTACAGGAAGAGAAAGAGGCTGACAGGAAGACAGAGAGACTCCAGAGAAAGATGAGTTACTACCTTGTAGTTTTGTTGAAGCATCATTGGTTGTTGTTGTGGCTGTAACTGATTTTGTGTTTTCAGTTGTTGCTGGTTTAGTTGTTGTTGCTGGTTTAGTTGTTGTTGCTGGTTTAGTTGTTGTTGCTGGTTTAGTTGTTGTTGCTGGTTTAGTTGTTGTTGTTGTTGCTCGTTTAGTTGTTGCTGGTTTAGTTGTTGTTGCTGGTTTAGTTGTTGCTGCTGGTTTAGTTGTTGTTGTTGTTGCTCGTTTAGTTGTTGCTGGTTTAGTTGTTGTTGTTGTTGCTGGTTTAGTTGTTGTTGTTGTTGCTGGTTTAGATGTCAGAGATATTGCGAGAGAAAGAAAACAAGAGTAAAGTTCATCACTGTGAAAAGTCATCAAATAAACAAATGTTTTGGTGGTTTTAATCATCTTGAACAGGGGTGTGTTTCCCAAAAGCATCGTTGCTGACTGCGGTAGCAACTTCCTTGGTTGGAACTTTGCAGTTGCGACGCAACTGTTTCCTAAAACCCTAGTTGGAACTACGGAGGTAACTAAGTTGGTAACTTACACGGTACGAACCATCGTTAAGCGACAGGTGTTCCCTGAAACCATAGTTCAGACGAACGTTCGCACCAACTGTTGTTAAGTTGCATAGTTGGAACTACAGCTCCTGACCTGTGGTTAGAAGCTTAGTTCACGGTGACTACGTCACAGAGAGCAGAAAATGCAGTGTTAGGAGGTGGATGTGATGTGTTTTAAGCAGGGAATGTTAGATAATCCTGCTGTACAAACATGTTTAAGGTCAATTTAAAATAAATGTATTTGTAAAAGTACTTTTAAATGTATTTGTGGGGTCATGGGTAGGGTTGCATTGATTCAGTAGGCTACTAAGTATCTCAGTGTAGACCATCTACAAACAGCAGGTGTTTTTCTCACAGATTACCCGTCTGCTCACAATAACTTAATTTAATATTAGTCACCCAGTACAAAGGTTAAAGGACAAAACGGAGAATGTAAAGACAAGACTTTTAATATTACCTACATGTATACGTTTCTGGGCCTCTGGGGAAGATGGGTGTTCTCTAGTCTTCATTACAAACATAAAAAGGGACAGCATAAAATCCATGAAAGTACTGTAATGAATAAATCCCTGAGAGTTTTCGTTGCCTTTATAACAAAGATAAATAGAGAACTCACGGGAGTCGTATCTGTCTCAATAGAGAACATGCGTAAGCTCAGACACTTAGCGCACTGAGCTGTTCTCAAAACCTAGATGTCAGATGCCAAGGGATTCATAATAGTGTTACAGTGTTGACACAAAGATACTAAACCTATTTCACTAAATGTCTTGGAATCGCTAATAGTTCTTAATTTTTTCTTCTAAGTTATAGCCGATATTTAGGCTAAATAAAATGATTAGGTTATATATTATTTATATTGTTGATTTCATTAACGCTATTGTTGATTTTCTTGTTATTGTCGGTACGACAATAATATAAAAAGCCTAAATAATAAGTTCGCAAAATAATGTCACTTAATATCGGTCACAACTGACATATTTAGGCAGAATATGACAACGTTTTGTGAGTTTCGTGCTGTGAAAGTCAGACGAACACACCTGGAAACATGTTAGTTCGACCTACGTTGGCTCAAACTAATTAGTTCAAAGTATGACAGTTTAGGGAAACGGTCGTATTTCAGATGTTTGTTTGTATAACGATGCATCGTACCAACATAGTTCAACGTTACCTTACGTGGTTGTTCGGGAAACGCACACCAGCTCACATATTCTCACCTGTTTTCTCACCTGAGGACTGAGGGCTGAAGGTGAACAGCTGCACTTTTCCAGAGTAACCATCTGTCACTTCACACTTCAAGTTAGACTTTGATTTGTTACTAAAATGAGAATCCAGGAAAGACACAGCGGCGTAGCAGCCAGACTGTGATGTATTCATGTCTTTGTTATCTTTGTCCACATCTTTACCGTCATACAGCCACTTCACTGTGTGTCTACAGAACTGTTCATGTTTCGACACAGAGCAGGTTAACGTCACCTCATCAGCGTCCTTACGTTCAGTCACTGGTGAAGATGGAGATATTGTGAGAGAAAGACAACAAGAGTAAAGTTAACTTCATCACTGTGATCATAATTATTGTAATGTTTCAGTATATTGTTCTAACAAGACAGTTTGAGCTGAAAACATTTGATGGAAATACTCACTGATAATAACAGACAGATAACCTGAGAGTCTGGAGTTGTGTTGTCCTGATATGAACTGTTGACAGTAATAACGACCAACATCCTCGACTGTGACCTTCTTTATAACCAGAGAACAGTTCTCTGTAACACTCAGTCTGTCTGATTTAGATTTGGCGTCTTTGTGAATCTGCCCATGTTCAAACAGCGCTACTGCTGATCTGCCCCCGAACCATGAAGAGCCATGTAGTATATTCACAGTTTTGCTGACCGTCTATCACATTTTCACAAGGCAAAGTGACGTCATCTCCAACTCTGACAGTGAAGGAGGGGGAAGTTTTCAGCTGCTGCTGTTGAGAAAATGATGAAAAATAAAGTGAAATGAGAAAATGTCTGTTATGTTCATAGTTAGTGACGATTATTTCTTTATCCTTAGTTTCCAAGAGTTCACTAAACTCACCACATTAGAAACAACAGATTTGGTTTTCTTAGTTAAATCAAATGTAGCTAATAAAGAATCTTTAATAATATTGATCAAGTTATTTTTTACAATGTGCCTTCCATTTATATATGTGATATATGTATTCTTACCTGTAAACTGAAGCACCGCTGTAAGAAATAAAGAAATCCATTTGAACTCAACCATCATGATTCTCTGAGTCTCTCCTTCTTCTGTCTCTTGTTCTCGTGCTCAGAACTGTCTGAGTTTCTAAACTAGTGCTTTAGTAGAGAGACGCAGCAGCTACTTCCTGTGGTTAGGATGATGTCACTTCCTCATAGTGACTTTTGTCTGTTTTAGATTTCAGTCTCTCTGAATTTCTTGTCGATGTTCAACAGCCAAAAACTCTGTTACAGTTTTCACTTTTACATTTTGAAATGTAGTTTTCTCTCATCCACAGTGACTGACAGAGACCCCAAATTCTTGATCAGCAACATGAGATGCAGCCATCAGAGTTCACACTTTGTTCATTCAGGTCTATTTGTGACAATGACGTGTTTCACCAAGCGAAAAGAAGAAGAGAGGAAGCTGAAGGTGTGAAGATTGTTAGTTAAGATAAATGTTTGCAATGATGCAACTTGTTTTCTTCAGATAGTGTTTATTAGAAAACAGACAGGATCCATGGTGATGTTTGACAGCACACATGAACAGACAGGTGAAGAGTCAAACTCCTCTCCCACCAGAATCTGACTCCTGATGTCCATGGTGCAATATGGTGATACTGTAGCAGCTGCTGAAGAACACAGATAAGATGATATTTTACTGCTCTGAGATCTGCTGGTTCCTCATTTTATCTTTGCAGCTCTTTTTTTTAAGATTAAGGAAACTCAGCAGAAGTTGAATCAGGAAGACATCGTTCATGCTGACTCTATTTCTCCCCCGCCCCCTCTCTTCCTTTTTTCTGCTTCCAACTCCGTCATTAGATTGAGGGCGTTCATTCTTTCAGTTAAACCAATCAGAATTTGCCACAACCTCTGTGAGCCAATCATATTGTTGCTGTCAGACTTTCAAACTGTCTTTTCTCTCCTGGAGGACCCCGACCAGATAAAAGACTGCAGCATCACTCCAGCTCCAGGCCTCCCTCCCTCTCTCGCTCCAGCAGCTGGTGGATCAAGCAGTCTTCAGTGATCCCACTGAGCCCTTCACATCCATTCTGGTTCTGGCCTCTGTGGTCACAGCCCCTCCACCAGGTAGGCCATACATCCCTCTCACATTTCTTAAACTCTCCTGTTCCTTTTCCTTTTAATTCCTCTTTAAGCCTCTTTTTCATTTAAGTCTCTCCTGACTGAGCTGAATAGGAAGTGTTTTGGTGAGAATGTGGACATGAGACAAACAGGCGTTTATCAAATTCTGATGAAAACTACTTTAACCCCTGGATGTCCTGGTTTTGGTTGTGAGTTTGGTGATTTCCTGTTTTCTTTTGTTAAATCCTTCCTCGTGGGTCTTTGTCAGTTCACTTCCTGTCCTTGAGTTGATTTTTGTTTCCACCTGTGTCTCGTTTCCTCCACCTCTCTTGGGTATTTAAGTGTGTGTATTCCTTTTTGTCTAGTGTTGGCTCGCCTGTGTTTTACAATAAGCACGCCATTTGTTTTCACTCTGGAATTTGGGAGTTTTACCTGGCTAGGTAACTGAAAAATGTTCAAATCCAGTTTGTTGTTTCACATGTATGACTACTACTTTATTGAACGCAGATTACATTTCATTCACAGTTAACATGAGCTAGAGGAAATGAGATGTTTGCTAAGAAAAGAGTAAGTTGAAAGTTAAAACTTGAAATGATAAGAATTATGAATTAGAGATGATAATGCAGACTGTATTTTATGATAGTGTCTTTGGTTCTGGTTCAGCATTGTGTGGGTCTGACTTTCTACAATACTTGGTGACTCCTGTTTGTGGCACCCATGAACTGGTGAACTTGATTCATCCTCATCTACAGACTGCAGACATTACGTTAAAGAAACAAGGAGATTGTAACTTTGTAAAGGTGCTTACAGACCAAAAGCGAAGTGAGCGTTGTGGGCGCTGCGTTTACATACAAAGTCAATGCAAAGACACATAGCGCCACGATTTCCTGTCGGGCGGTGCGAAGAGGGCGCTGCCGGCAACGAGAAGGCCTTTGCGTGAGTTGAACATTTTCAACTCGAGCGAGAAAGTCGCATGACGCTAAGTCGCTGTAGCCTATCAGCGTTGAGATCATCCTGACATCACCGATGGCTTCAGAGCGTTGTGTGGAGAGGGCCGGGCAGAGCGGGGGATTGAAATGCCGCTGGCCGGCGGAGAGCTGCTACACTTGGAGAAGTTGAGGACAGAGCAGAGAGCAGCGCTGCAGCTTTTGGACAAATAAACACCCGCGGTCGGTTTGGATTACACTCTGACAACTACGCTGTTTACTCGCAGGAGGAGCTCGGAGTAAACTGCTTTTATTAAATTAGCTTTTCACTTTAGTTTTGCGGATGGCAATGTTGATTTATCTTCACTGGAGCTTCTCAGCAGCTAGCTTCCATGCACATCCGGTTTCACTGTTGTTGTTAGAAGGGGTGATGGCACAGTGGCTAAGACACTTGCCTTTGGTTCAATCCCCCACTGTGACCCATCCACCATGTGTCCCTGAGCAAGACACTTCTCGTTGCTCCAGAGGCGTGCGACCTCTGACATATATAGCAATTGTAAGTCACTTTGGATAAAAGCTAAAATAAATGAATAAATGTAAATGTTGTTAGCGTCGGTTGGCACCCAGAGCTCTGTTGGACTAATACTTCATATTTATATAAAAAACAGAAAACACTGCATTACTTGGAGAAAAGAAAGCGAGGAAGTTGAACTACCTGGTGAGTTCAGAAAATATGTGTCTGTAACTTTATTCCAGCTATCGTTGTACTTTACTGTGAACAAGTTAGCGTAGCATAGCCCTGATCGATCCAAACTCCATTCAGAAAACAAACCTTTTAGAAGTTGTTGTCCTGCTGACTTGCTGACAGACCTGACAAAGCATGAATTCATATGTTTAACAAATCTGCATCATATTGTTGTTATTTCAGCATCAGTTTGATCCGTTTACTGCAATTAAATCCCAGCAAAATGTTTACTTTGGTTTCATAGAGCTGTAGTAATGGTGAGTTGTAGTATAGTTGGGGGTTTGTATTTAAAATGTACTATAATGTATGTGTATGCACTTTCTAAAACTTATCTGGTAGTAAAGATAAAAATAAGTTTGACGATTGGAATTTTGTGTCTATAATGAGATTCCTGATGGGTTGGGGCGTTCAGCTTAGTTCGATATAGGGCCCTCCAGATCCCTTTTGCCTGGGGCCCCCAAAGTGCCTTGAAACAGCCCGGCCCGGGAGGAAACCGGGAGAGGGCAATGAAACACGGGAGTCTCCTGTGAAAATCACGAGGGTTAGCAAGTATGAGCGAACCGGAGCTAACCTCTATGGCTCCTCGTTTCCTTCTGTACGACAGCGTGCTGCGTATGACGTCCTTTTATTCTTCTGCGCATGCGGGTCACTTGCAGGCCGGGGCCAGTTCACACTTCAGTCTGATATGGGCCACGTGTAAACTAAAAGGTCTGCAGTGTGAACGTAGCCTTTAAGTCCACGTGAGAAAGTTCAAGACAGGATATTAGAGTCAAAATACGCAAACCTACGTAACTTCAATGAAAACTAAAATAATATTGTCTTTGTCTAAAGTTTCACACAGGAACCTGAACGGGCCTGAGGCTGGTCATGAGTGAGACAAAAAAATCTATAGACAGAGGGTGTGTGTGTGTGTGTGTGTGTGTGTGTGTGTGTGTGTCTGCATCATTGTGATCATGATTTCATATATCACATTGTGACTCTGACATAAAGTATATTTGGATTTGAATGATTAAATGTCTAATTGAAAATCTAAATAAAGAAACTAAATTGTGTGTTTATTCTTTTGGGTCCTAATACACATCACAGAGTCGCATTAGTTTAACATTTTAGACCTTTTCCTGAAACCTACTAGGGTCATATCTCCTTCATTCGTTACTTTGATGTCAGGAAATCTATTTTTTAAATCTATCTATTTTTCCAGAGATATTATTGAGTTTATGTGGTTTTGCTCAGGGGCGTTGCTTGACATAAAGCTCTACTGGGGCACAGATCCCCTCATTACATTTTTGATTTATGAAATGTGTCAGTATGTGCCTCACCAGCTTCCCTTGCTAAGCATTAACTCAGTCCTCCATTAGGGTCTGAGCTGCTTGTATCTGATGCTGCCTGTACATCTCTGGCTGTGCTTTTACTGGCTGAGGCTGCCTGTATTTCACCTGGGTCTGTGTGACTTTCTAAAAACTTCTGTGTTTCAGCTGTGTGCTGGCTGATGATCCAGCATCTCCTCTGCAGACAAACTTCAGCATAGCTCCAGTAAATTATAAATCAATACTTGCAAGATATTAATGTTATCAGCTGCATCAGGCCAAACAAACTGGCTCCCCGAGTTTCCTTTAATATTGTCCTTTTGAAAATGTACTATTTATACTATGACATGTGATGTTTATTATCTACTGAGAGATGTGCATCCATATTGCCTAGTCTGTCCTGCTAATCAACATTTTAATAGTCAATGTGATTCCCATTCTTTCCATCTTGCATCAGTCCAGAGTTGTGACTAAACCTTCAATGAGCGCAGGTTCACGTGCGACGCGGTTTTCTTTTCAGCGCAGTTTATAAACATCGTTGCACGTCGGCTGCTCAGCTGGGTTAGCAAGACAGACAGAGATTCACTGCAGCTACACATGCTGCTCACATCAGACCTTTTACCTGCTGAAGTTAACCTGACTGCTGTTCTCCAAAGTCACTCTCGCTGAGTTATTTTTTCTTCATGTGCACAGAAGGATAGTCCCGCTTTAGACCTCTCATCAACGTTGGAAATACTCGCTTTCAAAATGGACTCGTTTTTGCGACGTTTCATATCGTGACAATGTGCCTTTTCACATCGACCACTAGGTAGCTTCAACGTATTCCTTTAAGGCGCTCGTCATAATTATGTATGCAAAAGTGCTTCTTTTTGCCACTGACAGGCTCAGATTGTTATACCAGGTGTCTGACACAATCGTAGAAGGGATCCCTATGAGTAACCTTGTTTTTAACCAGAAACAGAAGTCTTGCTAAAGGACAATTCTTGCTCTGAAATCTCGAAAGGAGTACATTGCAGCCACTGAAGCTAGTTCATGGGAAGCCATCTACTGCACGGATTTCAAAACATTTTGTACCTATTAGTCATATATAGTAAGACCGTCCCTGTGTTTGAGACAAACTGGCTCAGGGAAACAGACATTTTAACTAATGCAAATGTTTGACATAATGTTTCATCAGTTAATTGCAAGCACTTGTTAATACTACTTATACGTCTGGAACACTAATGTCAGGAAACTGCAGGCAAACTTATGTCCATTACAGTTCTGATAATATTTTTCTCACAATGTTAATTTAATGTGAAATAACCTAAATCCATATTAAAAATAAAACCAAATACTTAAAACCAGTCCTTATTCTTAGAATATACATCTTAACTGATTCGACTATACCACAACCACATCTACATAAACATCCAGGTTCTAGTTTAAAGTAAACAAGCAGCCATTACTACGGTGCCGCCTCACTTGTAAACCGACGTACAATTCAATTTAATTTCAATTTAATTACATTTTATTTATATAGCACCAATTCATAACAGTTATCTCATATCACTTTTCATAAAAGAGCAGGTCTAGACCGTACTCTGTGATATTATTTACAGAACCCAACAACAACACTGATGTACATGAAGGACTCACTTTCTAACTGCACGTGCCAGGAAATTTGTCCAGGAGAACCCTATAGAATCTTAAACATGTTAGAAATACAATCATAAATGCTGTTAAAATAAATAAAAGGTTACAATCTAAATAAAACAACAACTTATAACTCCTAAGAAACAGAGCTTTTGGGAACTAAATGGAAAAGAAAGGCCTCTGCTCAATTAAATCAGCTTCACTTTTATAAATCTCTAAATTGCTGGCTTGCTACTCTCACGTTTCCTGGACAACATTCCACTTTTACAGTATCGTGCATTTCCAATTTTTACTACATTTCTTCTGATCCAAATGCAAGGAATCACGGAGTACCACATAATCACAAGGACAGAACTGATTTGTAAAATGTTATTTTTTCCTTAGGGCTGTGTCATAATTAATTTCAGGCAGGTGTTTTGAGACAGAAGAACTTCCAAATTCACACAGACCGCCATCATCTGTCCACCATAAACAACCCAAACATCGGTGCTTTCACTGCCAGCATGAAACTAAGACATAAAAAGCACATATACAGATGTACAGGGAGGAAGAAGTTTAATTATGTGCATCATATTAACTACTTTTACTTTAAAACATAAGCATTTAAATCTGTGTATAGATAGATCCTAGCTATTGACCACTGATGGATGTTTGAAATATGATTAATTCTGTGTTGAGGCATGTTGTGAAAAGTTTGCTAGGATGTGTGAACTTCTCTGGGACGTTGGCCCAGGTTTGGACAGGGCAGACCAGAAAGGGTTAATGCGAGAGGATGTTTGTGTTCAAACAGTGGAAAAACAGTATTGCTGCCAGATTTTGGGAGCGACTGATTGCTTCTTATGCGAGAAGACGTAGACAACAGGAAGATATGTTCTGTGTATAAAAATGTGTAGATTCAGACTTGATCCTCTGTCTTTTTACCATTTCATAAACACCATGCTGTGTGAAAGGTTCCCTCACTTCCTGTACTTTATCGATCAGAATTTAGACGATGTCATAATGTTGATGATGTCATAAACACCGTTCTGAGGGGAAAGTGATGTCACTGCCTGCTTCCACATTCTGAAGATCAAAGCCACAGAGTGAACACATTCTGAAACTTCAGCTCCTCAGTCTAATGAATCATTTACAACTGAGCTTCGTGTACAGAGCCCAGAAAACAAGCGGTGGTTTACACAGTCGTTAAGAGAGAAGAAAAATGAGCTGCATCGAGGAAACGGTCCCTTCTGAGAAGTTCTTTGACAATCTGGGCATGGACGTCAGCCAAGAACAAGCAGATATATCTGACCAAGAAATCAAAGTGGACTTGGATGCAGTCATTCAACAACTGGAAGGAATAGATCTCCAACTGCAAAGGTACGCTAGACAATATGAGAAAAAACAACTAGCAGAGCTCCATGAAAATAGCCAAACTCAAAAAGAATTGGATGCAATGTCCAACGCTATGCAAGTGGCGAAAGAAGCCATTTTGAAAACCAATGAAGCTTCCAGACCGCAGTCTGAAGAGGAGACGTTACCTCTCGCTAACTGCCTTCACTTTTCCAGCAGTTGGAGAACAGACAGACTTTAATTAACGGACAAACTGTAACCTACACTGTACATTTACAGCCAGACCGAAACGTAGCGCTCATATTTTCCTCTGCTCATTTTCACCGTCACCTACTGCCACCTGTCACGTAGCTGTCCTGTGAGGGAGGAGAGGACGATAGCTATGTGCCACCGTGCTGCACAGTGTGCGGGCGAAAATCATTAACGTTAGTCACACATTGATGCTTGTCTCTTTTCTGCAGGTGTACCCGGGCCCTGAGCCTGGCGCTGCGTAAATCCCGCAGCTGGAGCTGATCAGCGGCAATCAGTGGGGCACATAAGCTGAGCCAGTGAAGTGCTCTCAGGCTCACTCTTCCTTGGTTGCTCGTGTTAGACTGTGTGACTTACAGTGTGGTTGGTTTACTGTGTGGTTTATTGTGCGGTAGACACCAGTTGCCCTGACGATGATCTCCCTCCTCTTTTCAACAGTTGCTAGAGAGACAAAAACAATACAGAAATACTTAAGAACTGCACATACTCACATGTCCAGTGATGTTAATGGTATGTGTCCTACATCTTTCATATCACGGTGAAGCCTCTGCCCTGCTCTCTGTGTCAGGGATGAGCGTCTCCACATGGACGCAAACACAGAGCCAACTTAATGGCCAGCAGAGAGGCCGCAGGTAAAAACCTTAGTGAGTAAAAAGCCAGAACGTCATCAATACACCTGTTTAACAAGCACATTGTATGTTGTAGGGCTGCAGCTAACGATGATTTTAGTATTCGAAGCTTCTATAGATTATTTCAAAGATTCATCGATGCGTCGTTTAGGAAGTACTTTTGCTTGGGCGTAAGCACGATGTGCGACAGTAATAAATGTCCCTGTGAAACACTGTGCTGTATAGTTACAGATTAAACGAAGCATCAACGCAAAGAATTTGTGTCGATGTATTTTATGAATCGATTTAATCGATGAATCGTTTCAGCCCTAGAGCTAAAACAATGCAATGTGGCCACCGTTGATGTGTAGGAATTTTAAAAACATGATCTTATCTATTTTTCAGGACCAGGCCTGGTGAGAGCCACTGCAGAGGATCATAGCCATCGTTGGAGTTATGAAAGGACGTGGGTGAATATCAATCTGCCAAATGAACTTTTTTAGCGTGCATCTTCACATCTGTATATTAATACTGATATGATACTATATATGACCTTGTTTGTTTGTTACTGGAAGAAATTAGCTTCTATTGTTTTTGACTTGAAGGACTTGACCGTGTTTTAAGCCTATGGGCATTTTCTAGATGTTGAGCATGAACAGAACTTTAAACAATGATTTCCTGGGTGACTTTTATGGTGTTTTTCCATCACCAGTACCAGCTCAACTCGGTTTGGCTGTGCTTCGTCTTCCACTGCAGATAGTACCCAGAAATATTACCACGTCATAGCGACGCCACACACAACTGCCGCGACATAATGTTCAATGGGACACACACACCAGCGAGCCACAAACAGCTGTCTCTTTAAGTTAAAATGTTTCAACCTTCGTCAGAATGTAAAGACAGATAAGCGGTATGAAAACCTTCCAGCTGTGTTTTCCTCTGCGTTGTTGCTGCAGCGGTCTGTGTGACGGCGGGAGCAGAGGGCTCTGTGAGCGGGCGGCTGGCCGGCCTCACACGCTCCTCCCGCGGGTTGGCTCGTTTTTTTGCGTGCCTGACCTCAGCTGACAGCAGTGAACGTAACGCTCCAGTCCACATCAAAGGGAAAACAAAAGGAAGCGCCCAGCTGTGACGGAGCCCTTTAAACTGAGTGATGACAGCAGTAGTGTGGAAGTTATGGCGTTTATTAATTTTACAATTGCTAAATTTCATTACATATCAAAACAGTCACATTTCTTACATTTTAAAATGTTTCCCGGATTCTGCTCTGAACCTGCTCGGATCAGATTCTCTCACTCTGGACTCTCAGCTACGGTTCCCCCTGCTCTGTACAGCAGCCACCAACCCGGTTCAGCATCTATTTTCACTCTGCCTCGCTCTTCACCTGCAATATATGATCCTTTTAACCTTGTAATAAATAGCCTATTTCTCTTTTATCAAACTTCTCCCTTTCTTAGACCTGCACTTGGGTCTGCTAGTCTTGCCATAACAAAGTTAAAACAAAGTTTTTGTTATAATCACTTAAGCCCAGTTCACACTATACCATTTTAAGCCTGATTTGCTGGTCAGCGAGCTCGGCGACCGTCAGGCTGTAATCAGGGGTAAATCAGCGATCGATCCACGGTCGCCAGTCGTTTTGTGTGAACTACTCGACGCATAAAAACGGCTCCCCGACACATTTCTGACACATCGCCAACGCCAGCCAGATATCTAGCATCCAAAAATCTGGAGGAGTCGGCCGACTCGACATCCACATCCAGCCAATGAGAGCAGGCAGCTGCAGAGCAGGCAGCTACTTTTACACCGCAAAACACTTTTTACTCCCCTCCAGCTCTCTGTAGCTCAGACGTTTCCTGCTACCTGCGTGTGCTGATCCATCCTTTCACCCAGATTATTTCTCTTTATAATTTCTATCTTTATAATAACAAACAACAGCTGTTTTGTATGTTTGTGTCACGTTTCACATTTCACGTGTGTTTTCTTGACAAAACCTGGTTTGGAGACCAGCGTCGGGTGACACAGCCGCTGTCAGCTCGTGTAGTGTGTGACCCCCTGTCACCGATCAGTCAGGTAGTGTGAACGCCACGACGACTTCAAGACGGCAAGTTGTGCAGTCTGAACAGCACGGCCATCGGCCGACGCTGAAAGCCGTGTAGTCTGCAGGAGCCTTTAGTTAGCCTAGCTATGAGAATAAATAAACTCTCTCTTTTTCTCTCTCTCACTCACAGACAGACACACCGGTGCTGCCGCTATCTCTCCCACATCAGATCCTCCCTCACTTAGCAGAACTTCTTGGGCATTTATCGTTATAAAGCAATAACTGTTAAAATTATAAATTAATAAACTTAATATCACATGATCTTGGTTTTTTAAAACCAATATTTAACAGGAATTTACTGTAAATCGATTGGATAATGGCATAAAATAAAAGTTTAAATCTATTAATATTCTGGTATTGGGCTTTAAATTAGGGTATCTGAAGGTATTTACAACATTTTCTGTTTGCTTTACATAGAAAAGTCTTTACTTTGACAAGGAGTTCTTGTAGATGGATTGGATTATCTTAAAAATATATCAAATAATACTGTATTAATGTAATTTTAAGGTATTTCTGCAATATTTTTAGGTTTTTATACAGATTAACATTCAACAGAGAATTTTTTAATGAGATTTTTTTTTTCTTTAAACAGCAGTTCGACTGTAAAAATACAGAAAATGTTTACGGTAAATATCCGTTTTCAAAAAACAAAATAATTGAAGGTTTTTTACTGTAATTTGACGGTAAGTGTTTGGCAACTTTGCTGCCAGACTTTTTACCGTAATTTTACGATTTATTTTTTTACAGTGTAGGTTATCTCTTACATAGTGTGTGTGCCATACATTTACGTCTGGTGTTCACTCTTAAGGCTCAATATAACATTACAATTCTGACAGTTTCAGTAAAGAGCAGTGATATTTTTAGCTTCTCACACATTCAGTCGGTCCACTATAGGCGGCCACACTTTCTCTCGCTGTTATTGCTGTATCTGTGTTACTTTTTCTTTTATTTATCGTTTTTCTTCACATGTGCTTTTATTCCACGTAAACCTACTCGCTGATGCTCGTTGTCTGCAAAGTATGGTGCACGCATCTTCTCCACTTATGAAACCTAATAACCACAAACTGCTATTCTAATGCAGGCTAATGAAAAATATGCAAAACACATACATAAGAACATGGCATAACTGAAAAAAACACTTTGATAGATAAGGGACCAGGATTAACTAAGCCTGGCTGCAGTGTTGCCAGATCCTGCTCATGAATTCCAGCCCAAAAACTGTTCAAAAACCGCCAAACCGCACACAAAACCGCCCAAATTATCAGTATTTATTTCAGTATTTTAACTTCCACGTGTCCTTACCTACGGTTACATTACATTTACATAGCCTACATACTTTATATACAAGAAATACACACTGGCAGCCAAAGCATAGGCCTACATAAATAAACCGTTTTAGGTGCATTAGCGTCACCTGCTGGACTGGAGTGTAAGGTTTTAATGACAGCATCAAAACCTTGCGGTGAAACGACTATATCCTCCACACACTCGTTTGTAAGGCGGCCTCCTGTATTTTTCCAAGTCAATGACATGACACGCTTTAACTTCATTCAGGAAATTTTGGGTAACTGCATCACTGACAGATGACTTTTAGCGCAGCGCCAACGTGTGTGTGTGTGTGTGTGTGTGTGTGTGTGTGTGTGTGAGAGAGAGTGTGCAGGGTGCGAACTACGGGGGATCCAGGGACCCTAAAGAAGACATCAGCTCCCCTAAAAGCACGATTTGTATACATATGATAATATGAATCATTATATTTGTATAATTATAATAATAAGACAAACATGTCTGATATTTTCACAGTCAGCCCAGGCCTATGCTTGCAGCTATTAATGATTCAGCGGTAAGAATCCCCTCCCCGAAAGCCGTGGTACCCGCCCAATCTGGCAACACTGCCTGGCTGTTGGCCTGGTCTGGAGCAGGCTAGCTGCACAGGATAAATCGCCATGGTAACTTATGTCCTACTGCTTTCCTGAAACCGAATCAGGGCTTAATTCAGCCAGGATATCCGGAAAACCCTGGTTTAATCCGCTGTCTTGGTTGTGTGAAACAGCCCTCTGGAAAGATTTTCTCAACACAGACAGGAGGAGGCAACAGGATGTAACGTTAAATGTTCAGTGACTGAAGGAGCTTGAGAGGACTACGTTCTTCCATAAAGGCCCTTTCAGAAAAGAAATGATTTGCGCTGCACTAGAAGCTGGGTTCAAGGCAAAAGTTCAACTACTTTGACCGCACGTTGCTTGATTTGAAACAAACCTCTGTGGCACAAGCCAGTGAAAATAATGGGTTTCATAGCGCAGCGGTGCTGTCGTTGCTGTGTGTCTGAAAGGTTTCACCTGCTTTGAAAGCTCGAGTCTCACCACTACGGCATCGATTGTAAGTGACACGTTTATATTTAATTCCCTATAACTTGCCACGTTATTTAACTCAGTTCGTATTACATTACTTAGGCGTGCAAAGCTGGGTGGAGACCCCGCAGGTGCCTCATCAAGTTTAATGTAGTTATTCGCTCCTTTTAATGGCATGTTTTTGAACAGGTGATCAGTCACCTCTTAAATAACGCCTTGGTCAGTCTGAATTCTCCCACACTGCCGACTTCAGCCGTTTCTTTGCTGGAAATAAAGCTTCACAGTTTGGTCCATCTGCCATAGTTTAGCAGTGTACAGGAGTAGCCTCCATGTCTCTGATAAGCACGGCACTTCAAGCTGGTGCACCGCTCCAGTAACTTTGTTTTCGTTTTGTGCAAATTGCAACAGTTTCATTTCGGTGTGGTGGAGCCTGTACAATTAATTAACTGTGACATTTCAAAGGGAGGTTAATAGCGAAATCTAATAATAATAAAATAAGTGCCCGATTCCTTCCTGTCCTGCTCATCTTAGGAGCACTCATGGGATCTTTCCCCTTACTGACAGGTTTCTCCTAAACCTAACCATCACAGCTCAATGCCAAAACTTAACAGACTCAAATGCTCCTTTCTCCACACTGCCAGGAGAGCCCAGAGCGACATGTGCTGGCCCTTGTCTTGCCTTTAGCTCTGTATCCTAAACTGTGGAGTCGTTGGAAAACACAGGGAGAACCATCGACATAGATTAATACCCCTAACCCAAAAAGTCCAAAAAAATCTCCTTTTCTAACCATGTTTCCTTGACCTTGATGGAAAACGTCATGATTTCAAGGAAAGATGTGAAGGATAATTCATAAGGACTCAGGACAAGAGGACCGCGGGGCTCAGAGAATCCATATTTGTAATTTGTAAAAATGCGACGGCGGATGTTACTGATGTGACTTGCTGTGATGAAACTACAATGTTCTGAAGATGGACTAAAGCGCATCTTTGACACTGCGCCTGTGTGGTTTTAATGCAGGCGTCTACAGGTGGACAACACGGTGGAAAATATTAGTAGCCTTCTTCATAACCAAGATAGCAAAAAGGCCTGAAGGGTACCAGTCACCAA